GACATGGGTCTGAGAGCTGATGGTATAGAGGAGCCTCAAGGGTTAAGATGAGCCATGGATTTCTCCAGGGAAGACGGGGATCTGGGGAGAGGGCAGTACAAAGGAACAAACAGTCCATTTCCCCTTCAGCCACCAGTTGTTTTCCGTGTGTGTGTCCTGAGGGCCCAGCCTTCCGGGGTCTGATCTGGTCCCAGAAATGCAGGAAGCCAGCATCGCAGGCTCTGTCCGAGGCCCAGGCCCATCACGATGGGGCTTCTGAGGAGGGAGAGGGGCACTCCGATTCTGGCAGGGGCTGGAGCCAACGACCGCAGGCCTTTCCCACTGGCACAGAACCAGAATTCCAATATTTCCTCTGGAAATTCTCTCATCCTCAAATAGCCCCGTTTCCCTCTGAACTTTGGGTGCGCGTAGCTTTCTGACTTCGCAGCGGTTCGCTGCTGTCCCTTTTGTGGCTGCTGGGTCCGCAGCCTGAAAAGCACGGCTATGTTTTTAGTCCTGGGAACCTCAGCAAGGGACAGGCCTCGCACCTCGGTCGCAGGTTGCTCAGCCCTGGTAGGGCCGCTTGCGGGAGGCGACCGATCCATGTGTCTCAGTCGTTTCTCTACCTCCCTCCCCCGTCCCCTCATTCCTTCCTTCCACTCTCTCTAGAAATCAATGGAGAACATATCCTCGGGTGAGGATTCAAAAACAAAAAGAGAGAGAGAGCATTGCCGACACCTCCTTCCTTCCCCGGAGGTTTCAGCAGGTGCACAGAGCAAGCTTCCCATAAACAGGAGAGAGCCCGACGCAGTACTTTGAGGGTCAGGCGTCTGCTTTGCAGAAGGAACTCAGTGCCATCACCTGGGGAGAGGGAGTGAGAAAGGCGTTCCCGCTCTCCGTGGTCCTGGCATTTCTTATCATGAGCATGTGTGACACTGATCGTGAACGAGAGATTCGAAAAAGGCATTTGAGCTCCGGACGCCCTCGACGCGTTTCCCAGCCCGGGCCGATGCTCATGGTTCTGATAGATGCCCGCGGTGGACACGACCAGGGGCCAGGGCGAGGGGTTGTTTGCCAGGGCACAGGGCTGAGGCTGGGCAGGCTGAGGGGTGGGGGTGGGGGGGATGTCGCTGCCTAACTTCAGGAGGACAGGCTGCTGCGGCCTGGTCTGCATTCCTGGCCGAGGAGAATGGAGCCCAGAGACACAGGACGGAAATCACCTGCAGAAACAGCTCCTCGCAGCCCACAGGGTTAAACTGAATGGAAACTTGCCTTTCACATACCTGCTGTGTTGTCCTTCCTTTGATGTTTGTTTTCCTAGCCCGGGCCCTTTCCCAGTGCGTCACAGAAAGCTCTTATCAGAGGTGATTTCTGGTGAGGGAGGGAGAAGGATTTCGTTTCCCTTTCTGTGCCTTTCAGCACAAGGCTTGGATTTTCTAACCTTATATGTCTTTCCGTCCTCCTCCCCCGCTCACCGCCAGCAGGAAGTCTCCCTTTGAACTCAGGGTGGTCAGAGGCACACCGCAGTCACTGCTACCTAATTTATTTTTCTAGGTTACCAGTTTATTACAGAAGATATTACAGGGCCCAAATCAACACGGCACTGAAGAGATACAGAGGGTGGGGTCCGGAACAGAGGGCCTTCTGTTCCGTGGAGTTGGGGCTGGGCACAGAGGTGGGTGGAGGCATTCTGGTTCCCAATGCGGAGACTCCTCAAACTCTCCTCTTTCGGGGTTCCCTGGAGGCTGTATGCATAGGCATGACCGACGAACTCATGGGCCATTGGGGACTGAGTCAGCCTCCATCCCTCCTCTCTCTCCTTGGCGACCAGGCAGTGGGACCTTCCTCTATTCATTTATCTTTATTTTTAAAATGTATTTTTATTGATTTCAGAGGGGAAGGGAGAGGGAGAAAGAGATAGAAACATCAATGATGAGAGAGAATCATGGATCAGCTGCCTCTTACAGGCCCCCTACTGGGGATCAGGCCCACAACCTGGGCCTGGGCCCTGACTGGGAATCAAACTGTGGCCTCCTGGTTCATAGGTTGATCCTCAACTACTGAGCCACACCAGCCAGGCACCAGGCTGTCCTTTTAACCACCACTGCTCTGCTCCTTGGTGTGGGGACGTGTAGCCCCAGGAAGGAGGGTGATGACGTTAATACTTCATAGCAATTATTATCCTCAATAGGATGTTGTTATTGATGACCCTGCTCCTCGGGCCTGGCAGGAAGAGGGGAGGTTGGGATACAGGGTTCAGGACTGTTCCTGGCCCCACAGCAACAAAGGCAGAGCAGCCAAAGTCTTCCTCCTTCAGGAAGGTGACTCACCCCTTCCGCCCGGGCAGTCGAAGTCCAGCTGCAGATCCCAGGCCCTTGGCTGGCATCGCCGGCAGCTCCCAGTCTCTCTCCCACCAACTGGGTGTGGAGGGAAGGTCCTGGGTGATTTCCCTTGGCGGGGACAGATGGGGCTTTCGGCAGTCAGAGGAGACTCTCACGCCTAGGAACTCTGGAGATGGGGAAACTGAGGCCGGAGAGGGGCAGGCGTTGATCTCAGTGGCACAGGAAGTCGGAGGCTGGAACCATGAGCAGCTCTTGCAGAGCTGTGCTGTGTGCTCGAGGCTGGCAGCACCATGATAGGGACCAGGCCCAGGGCCTGCCGGGAAACGGCCGTGGCTCAGTGTGGAGTGAGGTCACGACTGGGCAAAGACAGCACCGTGTGGCCACTCCACGGAGGAAGAAGTGGCAGCCTGGTGGCCAGAGGGCGATGCCTGGGATTCTGTTTGGTGGGGGGAGGTGAGTACATCCGGGAAAGCACTGGGGTGAGCCTGGAAGGACGCACCGGGCCAGGTGGAGGGTGAGGAAGAGCATTCCAGCAGGAGGGAACAGCATGACCAGAAGCTCAGTGGCGGGGTCTTGCCCAGGGACTGTGAGAGGCAGGCGAATGGAGGAGTTGAGAGCCTAGATCTTGGAATCGGACTCTTTAGGTCTGAATCTGGGCTCTCTCACAGCTGTGGGCCTTGGCAAGCATCCTAAGCTCTTGGTCTGGTTTTCTTCTCTGTAAAATGCGGGGGGGGGGGGGGTTGTGCCCACCAAAAAGGACTTTTGTGAGCATTAAATAAATGAATCCACATGAGAGAGCTAGGCCCGCAATGACCAACGGCTGCTGTTGACATCATCATTGGTCCAGGAGCGTCCCAGTGGGGCCCAGTGCTCTCTCTTCTGCACTTGGCTCCACCTTGCTCTTTGGGGCTCCAAGACCCCTCCCCCCACCTCACTCTGTATCTGAGACCCCGGAAGGGTGGCCTGGAGAGGCGGGTGGACTCTGGGAATAGGACTAGCGAGTGGAGCTTTTGGAAAATCCCAGCTGTAGTATTGGGATCCAGGAGTTAGGACAAAAGAGAAGAGGGGAAGGTGCAAGTATAGAAAGGGGGCGCTGCTCTAGACAGAGCAGAGCGACACCCCATCCCACGCAGTGGCCCTCTTGCAGGGCAGTCAGCTGGAGAGGGAGGTCACAGATTTATGGCCATTTGTGACACAAAGGATTGGCCCAGGCCTCCCACGCGGGGACATGGAATGTCCAGAAACCACTGGGGTTGGGGGGCAGGAGGAGGGGCGGAGCAGCTGGGGATTCCCGGAGCAGCTCAGCCCCCAACTCTGGTTAGGGGCAGGCAGGGAGGAGCTCAGAGTCACCAGCCTACCTTGACCCACCAGGCCGTATGGAGCCAGAAGAGGCAGCCACCTTCCCAAGGTGACTCAAGGTCAGTGGAAGAGCCCCATGTGAGCCTGTGTCTTTGAGGGGCAAGATGTGCTCATGGCTGGGGTGGGATATGTGACAGGGACACGTGGGAACCAGGACTTGAGGAGATGGGACTGTGTCTAGGGACCCTAGGGGGTCCTCTGCTCTCAGAACAGGGGCTCCTGCTCCCGATGCCGGGCGCTCTGCCCACCTCTGGGACACGGCTTCTCTCTGGGTTGAGTTTTCTCTGTGGCCGCTGCTGCTGCTGTCTCCCAGGTCAGCCGTGGCTCCCACCTCCTCACACCCCTCCCTGCGCATGGCCCCTGCTCACTGCTCTCTTCTCCCTGTCAGAAGCACAGCGGGGTCTTGGGGGAGGGGCTAACACCCCGACCCGTTCTCCAAGATGGGTGCTTTCCCAGAAACTGTCTTTCCAACTGAGTAGTGACTTAATTTCAAATTGGTTTATTTATTATAAAAGAAACAAGTACACCTACCAAATTTATCTTTGAAATCAGTATAACATGTTATCTTAGTCATCTCCGGTTGCTATGACAAATACTGGCTGGCTTATCAACAGCTAAAACGCATTTCTCATTGTCCTGGAGGCTGGAAGTCCAAGTTCACGGTGTCAGCATGGTCAGGTTCAGGTGAGGACACTCTTCCGGGTTGTAGGCTACAGACTTAGTTGAATCCTCGAGTGGCGAAAGGAGGGAGTGAGCGGGCGCTCTGGCTTCTTATAAGGGCACTAATCCCATTCTCGGGGCTCCATCCTCAGGGCCCAATTACCTCCCAGAGGCCCCACCTCCAACATCACAATGGGAATTAGAGTTCATAAAGGAAGCCCTCCATGAAAAAACGTTTGATAAATCAGACCACATGAAAGCTAAAATTTGTGTTCATCAAAAGACACTGCTGAGAAAGTGAAAAGTCAAGTCAAAGAGTGGAATTTAAAAACGCTTGTCCAAAATATGTAAAAAAAAGCACACAAAAAAAACTCCTTTAAAAAAATCAATAAGAAAACAGACTACGTAAGGGGGCCCAGGAAGGTCAAACATTCTTGAACCCAACTTTCACTAAGAGGATTTTCAAGTGGCCAACACACAAAACAAAGCCAACTTGAAGTGGTGTTCAATTGCCTTAGTCACCAGGGACATGCAAATGGAAATAATGAGGCACTAATATGCACCCATCAGCATGGCTAAAAAGAAAATGAGACAATGCCCGAGTACGACTGGAAATCCCATGCGCTTCCGATGGAGATGTACATTGGCACATTGTACATCTGGGAAAAGCCTTTAGCAGTATTTACGAAAGCAGAATGTATGTGTGACCCAGAAATTCTACTCTAAGATACATACCTCAGAGAAATGTGTCTAACAAAAGACATCTAGAAGAATGTCCATGTTAGCAGCATTTATAACAGCTCCAAACTGCAAATGTCTATCAACAGTAGGATGAGTAAATACCATACATTGTATATTCTTTTTGTTTGGTTTTGTTTTAGCCGGATCTTTTTATTTTATTGTTAAGCATACAGTTCAGTAATTTTTAGTAAGAGTACCAAAAAAGAGTTATGCAACCATCACCACCATTAAATGAATCACCTTCTCTATAGATTTGCCTTTTCTGGAAATTTCGTCCACACGGAATCATCCAACATGTGGCCCTTTATGTCTGGCTACCTTCACTTAGCCTAGTGTTTCAGCGGTTCATCCATGCAGGTATCAGCACTTCACTCCTTTTTATGGCTGGATAAAAAGGGCATTGTATGGGCATACTACATTTTGTTTATTCATTCATCCATTGGTGGACATTTGGTTGTTTCCACTTTTTGCTATTATGAATAATGCTGCTATGAATATTCATATTTAAGTCTTCGTGTGGACAAATGTTTTCATTTCTCTTGGGTAAATGTCCCTAGAAGTGCAACTGCTGGGTCATATTAAGTCTTCGTGTGGACAAATGTTTTCATTTCTCTTGCTGGGTCATGTAAAAATGTTATGCTTTCCTTCTTAAGAAACTGCCAAGCTTTTTCAAAGTGGATGCACCATTTTGCATTTCCAGCATCAATTTATGAATGGTCTAGTTTCATCCTTGCTACCAGCTGTAATTGTGTGTGTGTTTTTATTATAGTCCTTTTTGTGGTATGAGGTAGTATCTTATTGTGTTTTACATATCTCTAATGACTAAAAATGTTGAACATTTTATCATGTGCTCATTGGAAGTTCATGTGCCTCCTCTAGTGAAATATCTATTCAGCTACTTTGCCTATTTTTAAATTGGATTATTTGTCTTGTTGAGTTGTGTTTTATATTTTTAGGTACACATCTCTAAGCAGATCTAGAATTTGCAAATATTTTCTAGTGATTAGATTTTCTTAATGGTGATACCTAAAGTTTTAAATTTTTATGAAACTCAATTTATTAATTTTTTTTATGGATTGTGCATTTGCTGTCATAGCTGCAAAATTAAATATTTTCTCCCGAGTTTTGTAGATTTAACTTTACATTTAGGTCTCTGATCCACTTAATTTTGTGACTGGTGTGAGGGATAGGATCCAACTTTATTCTATTGCATGTGGGTACCCAGTTTTCCCATCACTATTTATTGGGGGGAAAAAACCCCTATTCTTTTTCCATTGAATTACCTTGGCTCCTTTGTTGAAAAAAATCAATTGGCCATAAAGGTAAGGGTTTGTCTCAGTTCTGTCCCACTGATCTATATGTCTACTCTTACTCAGTCCCATCCTCTGTTACTATAGGTTTATAGTAAGTTTGAAATTGGGAAGTTGTGTCCTCTAACTTTGTTATTCTTTTTCAAGATCGTTTTTGCTATTCTAGGACCTTTGTCTTTTAATATAAATTTTAGAAACAACTAGTCAATTTCTGCACACACACACACACACACACACACACACCTGCTTGGATGTTGCTAAGGATTGAGTTGGACCTATGAATCAAATGGAAGAGAAATTCCCTATAGACAATGAGTCTTCCAATCCATAGACAAAGAATGTCTTTCTTTTTACTTAGATTTCTTTAATTTCTCTTGGTAAAGACATGTGATTTTTACTGTACAAATCTTGCACTGTGTTGGTTAAATTTGTTTCAAAGTATTCCGTTCTTTTGGTACTGTTGTGAATGAAATTGTTTACCTAATTTTATTTTTAGATTGTAAGTAGTATGCAAAAATACAGTTGATTTTGTATATTGATCTTTTAGCCTGCAATCTTATTGTACTACTATTATTTTTAGGATTTTTTTTTTTGTAGTTCCTTTAGGATTTTCTGCATATAACATCACGTTGTCTGCAAATAGGAATCGATTACTTCATTTTTTTTTTATCTGAATGCCTTTTATTTCTATTTGTTGCTTCATTTCTGGGCTAGAACCTCCCATAAAAGGTTGAATAAAAGTGGCCAGAGCAGAAATCCCTCTCTTCTTCCTGATCTTAGGGGGAAAGTCTAGTTTTTCATCACTAATTTTGGTGTCAGCTGTGGGTTTTTCCTAGATGCCCTTTATCAGATTAAGGAAATTCCCTTCTATCTTTAGTTGTTGTGTTTTCTATCATGAGAGGATGTTGGATTCTGTAAAATTCTTTTTCTATTGGGATGATCATAGGAAGGCTATTTGGAGTAGAGAATGAGAAAGTCTTTGACCCTCAAACACCCTGGTAGTGGCAAGTACCACAAATCGCCATTTCACAGAACTGGAGCCCGGGTCCCAGGGATACAAGGCTTGGTGGCCCAGGTGCCAGAATCCCAGTGTCTGACACAGGCAAAAGCCACACGAGGCGCCCTCTGCCAGCAGGCTTTCACGTGCCTCTTGTTCATGGCACACGGACATAGCACACGGGAAACCCGGGAGCCGGGCCACATGGCCGAAGAGATCAATGGAAGGTGCGGGTTCCTTGCTTTCCTAAGGGATTTCTTCTTGGAAAAGAGCAGTTATGATTTCATAATGGGACTTGCTCTCGGAGTCCAGGCCAGAGCGAGCTCCTCGTTTGGATAAATCCTCTCCTGGCCTGGCCTCCGCTCCTTGGAGGACGCCCATGGCTCTCAAAGACTGGCTGGCTCTTCTTCAAGCCTGCGTCCCCTTCTTCTTGGACACTCGGTTAGATAACGTTTCCCAGCCTTCCTTGCGGCCAGGGGAGGCCACGCGTCTGAATCTGGTCACTGAGATGTGAGCAGGACTCGTGCGCTCAATTTCCAGACCTGGACGGTAAATGCCTCCCGGCCCCTGGCCCTGCTCTGTCTTCCCCTCCTCGGCTTCCTGTGGGTGAGCACAGTGACCTGTCAACAGCAGCAGAGCCGCAGACGGAAGGGGTCTGGGTCCCTGAATCTCATCGGAAAGGTGCCCATTAGTTGGGAGCACCCCTTGTGGACTTCACCTGGTGAGAAATAAACTCCTGTCATGTCTGAGCTTGTTTGTTACAGCATCTGGTTAGCTTACCTGATTTTACCGGTAGGGTTTTGTGTTTTTTAAACTATAGGAGATCTTTTAAATATCTTCTTCATTGCTTTCAGAGAGGAAGGCAGAGGGCTCCTGGTTCATAGGTCAACGCTCAACCACTGAGCCATGCTGGCCAGGCCAGAAGATCTTTACTGTCCTTCATGAATTTAATAAATTTTCCAAACCCACAGAAATCCAAACTATCTTCTTAGACCTCTGTCAATGGGCCCCAGTGTTTCATCTCCTCCTCCCCTCTGAAGGGATCCTCCTGTCATGAATCTATCCTCACAGGGGATTCCAGAGGAATCTTTGGAATCAGAGTGGGAGCGGAGGGACCAGGAGCAGAGGAATTGGAGACAGCAAGTATAGACAGTCCTTTGGAGTTTTCCTGCAAAGGTGCAGTAGTAGAGGCAGAGGTGGGGTCGAGGCACTGTTTACTTAAGACGGGAGAAAGGACAGCATGCCCCATGCAGACGAGAGTGACACAGCAGAGAGGGGGACATCGATGATGGGAGAACTGAGGAGTAAGGGCCTTGAGGAGGAGAGGGGGTTAGTCAGGAGCGAGGCGGAG